TCTTGCAGAAGACCTGGGTTCAAATCCCAGTACCCACACAATCATCCATAACTCCAATTCCAAGGGATTCAGTGCCCTCTTCTGTCCTCTGAGGCCATTTCATGACATGAGTGCTCTTACATACATGCAGGCAATACACATATACACATAAAATAAAAATTACAAATAATAAATATTTTTTAAAACTGAAGTTGTATAGATTCCCTACCTCACCTCTAGAATTTAATTTAATGGCCTTAGTTAGTAGTTGGTTAGCATAACCTGACTCTAGATAATGCAACAAGAAACTTTATATATGTTACTTGACCCACCTTACTGTACATACACAAATTAACAGCACTAAATAACCACAACAGATCAGCCTCTAAATAATCAATAGAAGTTATAATCACAATAGAAGGCTGCTACATTATTCAGAACATAGAATTAAGGCAAAAGTTGATTCCTTGACATTACTTTTTTAGTCAATTTTACCTTTGTGTTGTGTGTTATGGGTGTTGTATGCCAGTGTGTGCAGGTGTATACGTGCAGTTAGATAGCACACGTGCAGAGACTAGATGAAGATATTGGTGTCTTCCACTAGCCCTTTCCGTCTTATTCCCTTAAGACATGGTTTCTCACTGAACCTGAAGTTTGCTGTTTTGGCTAGGCTGGCTGGCCAGCGAGCTCCCAGGATTTACCTATCTCAGGTCCTCATGCTTGCACAGCAAGTGCTCTTATCCCATCTCCCCAGCCCAAATGCTTGCCATTGTAATATCAGAGCATTATTAAAGAAGTCCACATAAGGGTTACCTGATTCTTAAGGGACTGTACCTTGTTTGAAGTAATGAGTAGCCGGGTATGGGAGAGCACACCTATAATCCCAATACTCAGGACACTGGGTTGAGAGGAACATGAATTTGAGACCAGTCTAACCTACACAGCTAGACTCTGTGTAGGTTAGAAGAGGAGATGGAGGGGGAGAGAGAAGGGGGGAAGGAGACAGCAACGATAACCACAGAATGACAATGATAAGGACGAGGAGGAGGAGGATGAGAGGAAAAAGAGGAGGAGGAAATGGAGAGGAGAAGGATCATGAGAAGGAGAAAAGGAAGAGGAGGAGGAGTCTGAGGAGATAGCTTAGCTGTGAAAGCATGAAGATGTGACTTTAGATCCCAGCAGGTACAGAAAAGCTTGGTGTGGCATGCACACCCGTAATTTCAGTGCTAGGAAGGCAGAGACCAGGGGATGCTGGTGGCTTGCCAGATAGCCAGTCTATCATTAAATTCCAGGTTCAATGAGACCCTATCAAAAAATAAGGTAGAGAGCAATAAAGGGAGATATCCAACATCACCCTCCGCCTCTGTCCTACTCACACACAGACTCACATCTCTTTTGAGTGGATTCTGTCATCCTGCTTGTTCTTTCAATAATGTGCTAAATAAAGCTTCTACCCCTTCTCATTATCCATGTGCATGAAAATTATGTTTTTATTATTTTGAAAATCATGCTTTCACAAGAAATCTAAGAAAGATCCACAGAAATGTTGGTTGGACAGGAGAAACAGGAATTCAACGAAGTACGCTTCTGGGAACAATGCTCAGAACTCCTGTTATTATTTCGTTATCAGTCAGACTGTCATAGTTTAGATCTAGAATGTCTCCTAAAGACCCACCAAACAAACCTGTTGAAGGCTTGTTCTCTAGAGTTGGAAGTGGTAGAGTCTTTAAATGGTGGGACCTAATGGGAGATGCAATCACTGCAGAATGCCCCTGAAGTATGTGGAAGCCAGGTCTCTTCCTCTTTCTCTATTTTACTTCTCAGCCATAACATGAATGGTTTTGCTTTGCCACATGCTAGCCACCATGATTTACTACTTTGCTACAGGACCAAATCATGACTGAAACCTCCAAAAACTATAAGCCAAAATAAACCTTTCCTAATTATAAGCTGGTTATCTCAGGTATTTTTTACAGTAACAGAAATCCAACACAGAACTATTCGATTTTTCCAAGTAAGAACAGATATACTAATAATGACTAATTCACAATCATCATTGATTAACAATAATTGCTATTAATATGTAATCAGCAGAATAATCTTTATAACCAAAAGATTTGCTGTAAAATAGTACCTCTTTATATCTTTTAAGTCACAGGATAAAATCATTTCAGTTACATTCTGATGATACCACATGAAACCAAAGAAAGCCTCACAGTGAAATCTAAAGTTCCTCAGATAAATCAAGTTTGAACCCTAAGTTTTGGAATTCTCCTCAGTAACTATAGTAATAGTATAATTAAATACACAAGCGTGCTATGCTTATAACATGCTAACACAAAGATATTAATTCCAAAAAATATCCTCCTAAATCTATCATAATGACATATTCAACCTTACCACTTATAACCAGTCCCAGGCATTCACAACAGGAAATGGCTGGGCTTCTGTTGTTCTTTTGTGGTACTGAGGGAACAAACCCAGGGCCTCAAACGTTCCAAGGAAGGTCTCTACTACTAAGCTACATTCCTAGTCCTAAGAAATAGTATTGAAGAAAGGTTTTGAAAACCAAAACCAAGAATAATATTTACAGAAACATTAAGTATTACATGCCATAGATCCAAGATGGTATCAGACTCTATGACCACTGACATGGAAAATGACTACAGCTGTATTTCAGTAATAAAGACCATAAATTCCAATAAAACGAATCAAGAAAAATTACCCATTAATTAAAATTTTAGCCACTCATTCATTAGCCCTAAAATTCCATCAAATATCTCAGTTTGATGAAACTTTGGCTCATTTTTAGGATGAAGTTTAATTCTACAAATCCTAATAAGACTTTTAGGAGCAATGCCATCTATATTAGATATGTAATAATCTTTTCATGTAGAATATACATACACATTACTAACCCATAAACTATGGGCTGGTAGGATGGCTCAACAAATAAAGGTGCTTGCAACAAAAGGCATCTGCCATCAAGCCTCATGACCTGATTTCATCCCCAGGACCCACATCATGGAACCAACTCCTACAAGTTGCCCTCTAACCTACACATACACACACACACACACACACACACACACACACACACGATGAATAAAGTGTAATAAAAATAAATAAAACATTAACTATGTATGATGAGCAAATTCAATATGTATGCTAATGGAGTATTTATAGTTTCTATGTGTTCATGTATTTATGAATGATGAGACACATTGCAGAATCTATATATACATAGAAACCTAGACTATTATTATTATTATTAAGACAATAGTAGTAGTAGTAGTAGTAGTAGTAGTAGTAGTAGTAGTAGTAGTAGTAGTATTGAGACAGGGTCTCACTATATAGCCCTGGCTGACTTGGAAACTCACTATATAGACCAGACTGGTCTCAAGTAGAGAGTAACCTGCCTCTGCCTCCCAAGGGCTGGGATTAAAGGCATGTACCACCATACTCAGCTCATTGCACTATTTTCATATAAGGAAATAGCAATTACTGACTACATACTCCTATGAGGATGAACATTCTGAGGAGATATAGCTGCTACAAATCTACTTTTAGCTATCTCTTATATGAATGGTAGAGCATGATTCGGAGTTGAAGCCTCTAAAGATAAGCCCAGATTCTTCACTTTTTCAAAAATTTTAAATTTTATTTGTTATTTGTTATTTCTTTATGTGTATAAGTGTATTGCCTGCATTATACATAAATGCATCCATGCCATGCAGTGCCCATGGAGGTCAGAAGAGGGCATCAGATTCCCTGGAACTGGAGTTATGGTCAGTTGCTAGCTGCCATGTGGATGCTGAGAACCAAACCCAGGTCCTCTTAACCACTCTTAACCACTGAGCCATCTCTCCAGCCCCAATTCTTTACTTCTTACTATTTTTTTTACATGAAACATGATCAATAAGCCCTCAGGATGAACATCTTGCTATGTAGCCTAGTAAGATGTTTGTTTTCAAAATCAAAGTCTCAGATGACTATATCCAATTGAGTAGAGTCTAGGTCTCAGAGTTTTCCCTAGTCATAAGAAAAGCTGGAACAAGTAATTTCTTTTCTTTACCTTGAGAAGGTAGATTTGGCCTTTCATCAAACCTTTTACCCACTTTGAAGTAATCAAAAGAGTAATTCTAAGCTAACTTGTCACTTAAGCATTACCACTCTCTCTCTCTGCACGTCTTAGATTCTTCTCCCAGCTCTTCCCTGATCCTGCCTTCTTTTTCAGCCTTCCTTCCATTCTCCTTTCTGCTTCCTTATAGCACATTTGCTCTACTACAACATGTCTTTGAAATATATCACCACCATCACTCACAGCTCCCCTTAGGAATTATCTCCCTTTAGCACAAATGGTACCTCTATGTAAAAATATGTATTCTTTCTCAAGAGGACGTTGACTCAGAGTTATATTGTATATAATACATGCTTTATATTTTACTAATCTCTTAATTTGCTTCCAGAATCTTCCATCCTTACTTTTCAAACTAAATTAGAAGTTGTTCTTATATGCTCCTGAGCAACCTGGAATTGATTCCAGTTTGGTACTCATCACAATGTGCGATAATGGTCTGTTTCTTATCCTACTCCACTAGGCCTGTGGTACACTTACTCATCACTACACTCCATGTGCCTTCCAACTAGTAGGCACTCAACACATTTGTTGAAGAATTCAAGAATAAGTATGTTTCCTAGTCTGCTTCATCTGCAAGACATCTGTAAGTCTGCTTCATCTGTAGGAAAATGCTACGTAGGCACACGATCAAAGACAATTAATGCTTGGGTCAAAAGAATTATACAAAGATCAGTTTACAGGATTACTGTCAGACTTTCTGGTAAATGGTGAGAGCAGCAATCAGACCCACTGGGTTACCAGAAAAGACCTCCTGACCATGACAGTCCTGCTACTAAACTAGGATGGAACTGTGTGCACACTTGTCTATTTTCACCCTTCACCTTTATCTACAGGAACAGAAGAGGGCTCCCATGTAAGTTTGTAGAACTAGGGATCTTACCTCTAAGAACCATTTGCCAGCATTCAGAGTTGACAGGAAAGTCCAATTGAAGTAGGCAGAGTGGTTGTACGTGGACTGTGGCAGGACTTCTCTGATATTGGTTGTTCTACTCAGGTCATAGTCATGCATGAGGAAAGGCACACGATCATAGCTGCAGGCAGAGGGGGGAAAGGGGAAGGAGTGGAGGGGCTGAGCCTAACCACCTTGGCACTGAGCATTCCCTAAAGCACTTCAAGGTCACAAGTCTTGCAAGGGCCCTTTATACCTTCTCAAATCTCAACAAAGGACTAAGTATCAGTCATTTATACTGATGTCAACAATTTTTTTTCTGCCCCAGGGATCAACCTTTGATATATACAGTCATATGGGTGATTCTGAAAGAGTAGCTTCCTTATTCAGAAGCTTCCTGGCATTAGGAAAGCACAAGCTGCAGTGATGGCCTAAGACAAAGGTGAGTGGGAGTGGAGTGAGGAAGGGTCCCCAAGACCATACTAAACACACTTCTACACACTCTTTCAGTGTTTTTCTGACCCTGTACCCAGGAAGGCACCTGCTCTGAGTTCATTCGACCCTAGACCCTCCACAATGACAAATTCATTAAACAAAATCCTGGTTCCTCTACCTCTTCTTTTCTCTTTAAAACAACTATGAAGGGAACATCTATTAATAGCCATGAGGGAATAAGGACTATTAACTTTCTTGCTACAAATAGCTAGAAAATTGGGCAAAATAAAGGGAATAACTGTGTTTAGTCAAGGGACAATTAAGATCACAGTATTCTACCTCTGAGAAAAGGAAACAGATGAAGAAAATTATACCATTACACAGGCTTCCTTCCTGAAAGTGAATATTAGACTGCAGTACAAGAAGGGAGAGCCTAAAAGGAACCAGCTATCTTGCTGAAATGGAGAGAAAGAGATCAGGGTAGGGAGAGGCAAAGAGTTACAATTTATGGACTAGAGCAGGATAGAGGATGGAGCTATGCAAAAACAAAACAGATCTTGAGCAATATAGAGAGATCATGAGTACATGACTGTTATTCTACACATGGAACTCTGTGAAGCTTAGCAAAAACAACTTTGGGGCTGGTGAGATGGCTCAGTGGGCAGATACAGTTGCTGCCAAGCCTGACAACCTGAGCTCAATCCCTACAATTTATATGATAGAAAGTGAGAAACAATTCCCACTAGTTGTCCTCTGACCTCCACATATGTGCCATGGCATATGCATGCCTAAACACATACACATGCACACACACATACATACACACAAATAAATGTAATTTTAAATTTTAAAAAGATCACAATAATTGCATGAGTATTCTTTTTTTCCCCTTACTTCGATAAACATTATTTAAAACTTACAAATTGTTTATCTCTGGAATTTTCCATGTGATATTTTCAGACCATAGTTGATCATGGGTAACTGAAATGATGGAAAGCAAAACAGGGGATAAGGGGGAGGGTTTAAAGTCAGTGTTTCCTCCCACTTATATGGTCTCTCCACCAGGAAGTCAGCCTTGGAGACCAGTGGAAACATCTAGGTGAAGTGCAGTCAGACCCTGTAACATGATCCACGGAGCCCAGCTCAGGAGGACAGGGGATGGTGCCTGAGGAGGGTGCCTTCTCTGGAATGGAGACTCAAGACAGTTAGATGGAGTTCATGAGAGTCAAATCTTCCACAGGGCTACTGTGTGCTGGATGCTTGGCCACAACTAGCACCACCTGGCCATTCTGTTTTTAGAGGTTCCAGAAGATCAGACCTTAGAAATGAAAGTAACTTAGAACTAGAATGGATGTAGACCCACTTCAGTGCTTCCACAGAAGAAACAGCCTCCAAAAGCATCAAACTATTTTAGAAATAACTTACCTACCTGGTAGAAAAAGTCCAACATTCGTTAAAGGAATACAACAAAATATAGCCCCCATCAATGTAAAATTACAACGCCTAACATGTAACCAAAACTTACTAGAGATGTAAAGATTCAAGACTATGTAAATATAAACCAGCGAGATTCTTCAACACAGGCAAATTAAAAAATGAAAGATGACAATTAGTTACACAAGGATGTTAAAGAATATAGAATATAAATTCTGTAAATAACATGCAAAGGAAACACAAACAGAGAGAGCTAACTGTGGTGGTGTAGCACTTAGGGTAAAACAGGAAATGTCAATTGCAAGGCCAACCCTGGCTATAGGACAAGACTGTCAAAATATACATACAAATGTAGGATGTAGAAAAGAAATGGAAATTTTAAAGATGGGAAATACAATAACTGAACTAAAAATTCCACTGGATAAAATTTATAACAGAGGCTGGCGAGAAGGCTCGTGGGTACAGACATAAGGACCTACGATAAGATCCCCAGAATCCACATAAAAAGTCAGGCACAGCACACGCCTGTAAACCCAGCACTGTGGGAGTTGGAGACAGGCAGATCCGAGGGCTCTCTGGCCATTCAGTCTATCCTAAACAGTAAACTCCAGGTTCAGTGAGAGATTCTGTCTCCAAAAATAGCATAGAAAGTAACAGACGAAGGTAAGCCAACGCTAACTTCTGGTCTCCATATGTGCTTGTACAGGTGAGTACTCCCCACCACCACATACAAATCTATGATGGACCATTCAAAGACCACTGAATCTGAAGATGTAGCAATAGGATCTTTCCAAATGGAGCATAGATACCCCGGAAGCCCTGGCCCCTGATGTGAGAAGGAGAATGGCTAATTTTCCAGCTCCAGTGGCTCACAGCTAAATCCACATATTTCCTGGCTTCTGTTCTGTCCTTTCTGTTTTGAATATTTTTACCTTAAAGAAGCATGCTTAAATATTTTATGATCTCTTTCTCAATTTTTTTTTTTTTTTTTGAGACAAGGTCTTCCTGTAGACCCAGCTGACCTGGAACTCGCTATGTAGACCACGTTGACCTCGAACTCACAGAGATCAACCTACCCCTGCCTCCCAAGTGCTGAATTAAAGGCCTGTGCCACCATGCCTGGCTGACATTTTCTCTTAATGTGGGCGAGAATTTGGGCTCCGAAGCGAGCTTATAGGTATTCCTGTAACAGTTTTACTAGGAGAGAGTGGAACTTTCAGGAGACCAGGCTGGCCTCAAACTCAGAGAAAACTGTCTGACTCTCCTTCCCAAGTGCTGGGATTCAAGGTGTGCGCCACCACACCTGAGCAGAGGACAGCTTTGAGAGTCAGTTCTCTCATTCCACCATGGTTCTGGGGCTTATACTCGGTTGCTAGGCTTGCGTTGTAAGTGCCTTTACCTGTTGATCCATCTTGCTGGTTCACTACTGAATTATTTGTGTTTTTCATTATTCTGGACATTAAACCCCTGGTCAGATGTATAATTTACAAATATTTTCTCCCATTCTATAGGAGTCCCTTCATTCCAATGATTGTTTCTTTTGCTGTGTGAAGGCTTTTTTGTTTTATACACCATTTGCTTATTTTGGCTTTTGTTTTCTACTTTAAGGGTCTTGCCCAAAACATCCTTTCTGATTCTGATGTCCTGAAGTATTTCCCTCTGTTTTCTTCCACAGTTTCTGATCTTTTTTGAAAAAAAAAATGTATCAAAGGTTTTATTATTTGTAAACTGTGAGCTACCAGATTTGCAGTCTTACAGGCTATCTTGGGTTCACCAATTCTTGACACTTCTTATCAGTGGAATCACACACTGTGACCTTTAACATCTAGTTCTCTCACTGAGCACAATGTCCTTAAAATCTATCACATTATAGCATGTGTCAGAACCTCATTTCATGACTGAGTGTTATTCCAACACATGAAAGGGTCATACTATGTGGATCCATTCATCCATCCACAGACACATTCCATTTCCACCTTTGGGCTGTTGGGAATCATTCATGTTTAAGTTCTGTATCGACATAGTTTCATCACTCTTAGGTACACACTTAGGAGTGGCATTCTCATCATCATTCCAAGAACTACCAGTCTGATTTCCACAGCACTTGTAGAGATTTTGTCCCTTCTGGTCATATGTAAGGGCTTCACATTCTTACATACTCCCCAGTGCCACCCACCATTGGGTCATAGCCATCTTGGTGGGCATGAGGTGATACGACACGGCAATTCTGATGTCATTCATTTAAGTCCTTAATATATTTTGAGTTGATTGTTCTACCTGGTGAGATGCAGGGATTGTCTGATTCTTTGCATGCTGACATCCAATTTTCCCAGCACTATTTATTGGAAAGGCTGTTCTTTCTCCACTCTACCTTCTTAGAATCTTTGTTGAAAATCAGTTGGCTGTATGTATGTGGGGATAGGAATTCTGGGGCATGGTTCTGTGTATGTTTTTGTGCCAATGACATGTTATTTTAATTACTTCAGCTTAGTAACAGATTTTGAAATCAGGTAGTATAATACCTCCTACTTTGATTTTTTTTTTGCTCAAAACTATTGCTTTACATATTCATGATTTTTTTGTCTTATACAAAATTTAAGACTATTTTTTTCTAGTTTTATGAAAAGTGTCTTTGGTATACTAATAAGGATCACATGAATCCATAGAGCGCTTTTGGTACTGTAGATTTTTTTTTCATCTTTTGAGACAGAGTCTCCCTGTAGCCCAGCTGGTCTGGAACTTGTTATATAAATCAGGCTGACCACCTGCCTCTGCCTCCCAAGTGCTGGGATTAAAGCCATGTGCCATCAATTCACAAATACGGGATGTGTTTTCATTGTGTGTGTGTGTCTTTTCCATTTCCTTCATCAATGTTTTATATTTTTATTATGAACATCTTTCACTTCTTCATTTAAGCTCATTCTTAAGTAGTTTATTATTTTATAGCTATTACAAATAGTATTGTTTTCTTGAATTTTTTGAGAGAGGGTCTTACTATATAGTGCAAGGTGGCCTTGAACTTGTGATCCTCCTATCTCTGCCTCCTGAGTGCTAAGATTACAGGCATTTGTCACCATGCCCAGATCTTAATTCATTCCTTCCTTCCTTCCTTTGCAATATATACATGGTATATGTGTCTGTATGCACATAAGTGTGATGACCACATGGGAAACCATGTGAGGTCAGAGGTCGATGCTATCTAATTAGCTGGACTAGCTAGCCCCCAGATAGCCTGCTGCCTCTGCTATCCAAGCACTGGGGTTATTGATGTGT